CAAACTTCACAGTTTAATAAAGTTTAAACAAAACAGCTTCGTGTTGTTAAAATTTTATTTAAAAAACTTCTAACTGCAAAATGGGGTGTAATCTTCAACCGTACATATATATATATATGTATATATATATGTATATATATATATATATATATGTATATATATATATATGTGAAAAAACAATGGCTGGTCGGTCGGTTGTTGCTAGTGAATTTTTGTGCTTTTTGACAAATAATTGGAATAATTTCGATAACGAAACTTTTATTTTGAATGTAGTGGATTTCTATTATGTCGACGAAGTTACTGCTGCAATTAAAATTTTGAAAAATGATTTGGAATTGTTAAAAATTAAAGAATTGCAATCAGAATCAGTGGATAAGTTTCAATTTCGCGGAATAAATAAAAAAGACAAAATTTTTGAATGTGTTGAATTGCTAAAAATTTTGAAGTTAGAAGGTTTTATTGATAAATGTTCAATATATTCAGCTGTTAATCTGTTGTGGATACCAAATATTACTAACTGGCTGAATTTTAGTTTTCAAAAGATCACAAATGAAATCGAAGCCATGTTTAGTGTACAACAAACGGCCATAATAGAAGCGTTAGATACGAAACATACTGGCTTGCTGGACAACATACGCTCTATTGTCTCCAATCATACGACAACGTTGCAGGACATAGAAAAGGCTTTTACAACAAGCACTATACCATTGAATAAATCTGAAATGTCTACAGTTTTAAGTGACGTATTGAAAACAAATTTATCAACCAATGCCACAAATAAAACTTCAACTACAAATTCATGGGCAGATAAAAGTAAACATTGGCTTTTAATTTTAATAAAAATAATAATAATATTAAAAAATCCATGAATGAATCCAACGATGAATTAGACGTCGATGGCTTTCAACTTGTTCAGAAAGTCAAGAAAAAAAGAAAGTCAGATGATTCTCCTCCAGTTCTTCAAACAATAAACAACAAAATAGAATCTAAAAAATCTAACAAAGTATTTGGCACTGGTACGAACTGTCTCTTGAAAGCATCTAAAGTAATAGAGAAAAAAATTGTTTATTATGTAGGTAATGTTGACTCGTGCAAAAAAGATGTCATCGAAAACCATCTAAAAACAAATAACATAATCTTCAACCAATGTTTCCCAGTCTTGCGAAAAAGAAACCTTTTAAACAATCCTCCAGATAATCATCTAGACAACCCCGTGGTAGATCAAAACCCATTAGTCGAGTCTACGGCATTTAAAATAATTCTGCCAATCAGCCAGTTATCCTAATTCACCAATTCTGATATATGGCCACAATACACATTTTTGCGCGAATGAGATTTTTCACTGACGAGTCACAGAAGAACAGTAGAAGATAAAGTTGTCCAATCCAAAATCGAGAATCATGGTGGCGCCAAATAATTTTATATGCAAATCAATGCATAACGAAACGAAATACTACTCTGAAAATGATATATCAA